CGGGTTCCTCGAAATTCCGTAGAATTTTAAAAAATAAACACCTTTCGCACAACTATGAAGAGCTCTCAGCTGTTTTCAACGAAGAGAATAGAAAAGGGGGGGGGGGAGATGAGTTGACTTGAGATTTGTGATACGTTTTCTTAATTGCATCGAACCTTACCTCGTCGAGAAATCTTTTGGAAACGCTTTCCGAATTGTGGAGTTGTTTCAATGCAACTTTCATGGTGTCATTTGTTTGACGGTCGTAGTGGCCTCGCCAGTTGGCGACGAAGACTGTGGAAATGCCCCCTTTCCCAATTTCACGAATGTCATCGAATTCATCGTAAGGTATCCAGTATAATGTGTTACCGGTAAATTTGGTTGATAGAAGGAATTCGTCCATTTCAGGATTGCCACTCAATTCTTCTTCGTACGAATCTATTGAGGAAGTTTCGCTAGAGTCATAATCATAGTCACTTGGTGTTTCTAAATCTCCGTAGATGAATTGCATGCCACACATTTCGTCTCTACTTTCAAATCCTAAGGGTTTCCTTGCCTTAGTTCTTGATAGTTTCGAAAAGAGGGAAAAACATTGATTAATCATCTTGCGTAATATGAGTATGTGTAATAATAGATGTGAATGGCATTGATGGAGGAAAAAATTGAAATCAAAAGATGAATGAATGAGAGTGTTTTCTTTTAATGGGTGTCGAACGAAGGGAAAGGAAAGGAGGTAAATTATCGTTATTGGTTTGCCGTCAGATTTTATCCACAAAAAAAATTGATTTTCAATTAAAGTTTGTTGATTACACGAAATTAATTACCGTGTCACTTTGAAATCGCAATGTTATTCTATGCGGAAACAACCACTACGCTAGGAAAAAAAAAAAAAAAAACGGCATTAAGTAGGTGATCCCAATTAACAAAAAAAATTCAAACTCCATCGACACAAGGAATTTATTGGGCCACGATTGTCAACATACTTTACTGGTAAGCTCGCTTCCTTGTGGGAATCAGTACAAAAATGCATAATGTATTCCTTTTATTCACGCTTATGTATGAATTCCGATTTGGGACAGGATCGAAAAGTAAAACACCATATCGGTACTTGGTGCAATGTCGAAGGTACAGTATCACACGAGTGTGCTTAATTTCTTGCACGCGAGTACGAATAGAGTCTCTTATAATACCAGGATACTGCGCACATACCACATATCTCCAGTGAAATTAAACCACGAGATGTCATCATCATTACATGCGTGTTCGGTACCAATATGTCGTGATGTGTTTAAGTAGATTCTATGAATCCGATTTGCGTGATGCTTGACGTCCAATAATCATGATTGGTTTTACAAGTTTTTAAATCTTTGCATTCCTCGGACAATGATAACCAATCCGCTAGTAACCCAGTAACCCTCGCATCATTATTTCTTACCTCTGGTGTAATAATCATTGTTGCTGCATACATAAACGGGATTACAATTGGAAATATATTTTTCCCATTTACTTGATGCAAAATTTCCTCGCTTGCACACCTTCTTTTAAATAACGCACATTTTCAAATGAAGACGAACCATACCAATTATTTAACTGCAATTAAACAGGCACCTGAACTCTTTCTATCTCCATAAAAAGTACGATGATCATTTCTCGATTATCTCGCCCATTTATACGTAGTACTCAGTAATTGCGTATGATCTGATTATCATCAGCAAGGATTATTTATTACTGTACTTCAAAACGAAATGTCTGAAAAATCGGTGAATAATGACGCAAGTGAAACTGAAGAAACAGTCGCTGTAAAAACTTTTAAATCATTGGCAAAGATTCCTTTTTACATTTCCGCAAACATTTTACCGAATTCAAGTTCTTCTTTGCTCTGTAAGGAGTATCCACATATTTGTAATACAATTATGTTTTGTGCCGACTAATTCTTTGTCCCCTTAATTTTCCCCCTAGTAATTCAAACCGGTCTCAGCCAACGCGATTTAACTCGCAAAATTAAGCGATTGACCGTGAAACAATTGGTCGTATCATTAGAAACCGAAGGTGATCCTAAACCAAGCGTTATCACCTCTTCGTTCTTACCAATTGATCTGGGAGATGTGGTTTTACAAGCCATTTCTCAAAGTGGTAATAAAGTGGTGACCTTAAAGTCGGTGTCCGGTGACAAGGGCAAGAGCAGATACGTCGAGGTGGCTTATCTATATATATTTCATACTTATTTGGAATTTCAACTGATGATATTTTCATTTGTAGATTTGGAAACATGGGAATCTGGAAAGTGTTATTGATGTAACGGACGTACACGAAGATTTCTACTCCGACGGTGATTTGACGTAAAGATAATCATCCGTTTATCGATCGATTGTTTAATGTTAATTAATAGAGAGAATACTTTCTCGTAAAGATAATTTCGGTTGTTTAAACTGGTCAAAGAATGAAGAAAAGGTTGTTTACATCGCCGAACGTAAGGCGCTTGAAGCCACTAATGAAAAGGTGTGTCACATTTTTTTTTGTCTCTAGCACTTTATGACCACAATCGCAAAGCTAAAAGCAATCTATTAGAAATATGATTACAAGCAAAGTTGGGGTGAAAGATTAGCGAATAAGCAAGTTCCCGTGATCGTCATTGTCGATATTACTGAGAATAAAGCGAAGGTCTTACCGGAATTCCACAATATCGATCCGGGGCAGGTTTGTCAGCAATCGCATTCTCATGACCAATCGTGGGAACAAAAATTTATCGAAAGCGTTTTCTATAGGTGCTCTTTGGTTCAGACGATGAGACACTGATCTTTACCGGATATGATAGAGAGCCGCGCCAGTTTGGTCTAGTAGCCTGTATTAATCGATTGTAAGAGCAAATTACTTGTAACTTTTTGAGTGTTTGATTCTTCTCACGGTCTGAATTTCCCCCGAATCATTTACTCAGGTCTGGAATTTATCAGAGCAATCTTGATGGAACAAATTTGGGTAGATCAATTTATTCCTTTTAAGCGAAATATTTGGTTTAAGATTGATCTTGAATATGAAATGTTTGAATCGTTGCTATAGTCCACATCAGTTGTCAAGTTCAACACGCAAGGTCGCCAAGGATGAACCTAGCAGAGAATTGTCTGGTAAGATAGGCTGTTCATTCATTCCTTCTATTCCGAGAGATGCTTCAAATTGGTGTTGTATTGAATTGACCATTCCACACGTTGATCGAAGGTTTATTTATCCAATCCTACGGGAGGGCCTCACTCGTGGTGTTCGGAACTCTACGTGGTAACTCTTAGAGCTCTGGGTGCTGAATTATTTCGCGTGCAGCCAGACGCTAAAACGTTCTTCTTCGTTCAATATGAAAATCATAGTATAAATTTTCATCGAAAACGAATCGCCTTGTTGTACCCATAGTTCGTTCTCCATCCGAGTCCTTTCACGAGAATTTTCCTGGAATATATTGCGGAAACATCTTGCCAAAATCGTTTTTCGTCATCAATGGTGCCGAATACATTTTAATCAACAGCTATTGGCGTAGCAGAAAGGTTATTTTGGCGGTGAATCTGACCTCCGGTAAAGTTCAAAATCTAACTTTAACCGGAAGCTGGACTCTATTCACGGTTTGGGACAAGTATGTGGTGGCGTCTCAAGGATTTCCAAACAACGTCTACCAATTGGTATAAAATAATTCACTCATTACATTGGATCTGAAAAAAAAAGAGACGTCAGAATCTTGCTGATTCACCTTTTTAAAAAATAGAACATTGGAATCTTAAGTGCCAACATGGAGAACAACTTGGATATTAATTGGGTGATCATTGATCAACCGCATCTTGAAGAAGGAGGTCAGATATAATCTTATTGTGTTGATAAGCATGAATTTGACCTTCATTATTATAGAGGTTTACTCGTTCTTTACTTAGTTGCAAAAACTCTTTCCAAGTCCACGTGGTCCCTGTTGCAGCCTTTTCCGGACAAGCCCAACTTGGAAGTCATCTTTCATCAGCCAAGCGAGACTTCTTCGGACAAGAAGCCACCTCTTATTGTTTTTCCGCATGGCGGTCCTCATGGTACTTCTATCATAGAAATCAGCCTCTACGTGCAGACACTGGTTTCTTTGGGATATGCCATTATAGAAGGTAAACTTATCTTTCATCGCACAGCCAATGTTAACTGTGATTGATGCGTCCACCTTATAATATTATGTTGACCAGTCAACTATTCTGGAAGCACTGGGTTTGGGCAAGATTATGTGGATTCATTGATTGGAAAGATTGGCGATTTAGACATAGAGGAAGTTCAGGTGATCTAGATTTCGATTTCAGTTTAAATTCGGAAAAGATCGTGCGGATTAAGTTAACACCTCATTTGTTTCCTCTCAATTCATATAGTCGTCGGCACAGTATTTCATTGACCATAATTATGTTGATTGTAATTCAGTAGCAGTGATTGGTGGTAGTCACGGTGGATTCATTTCTGGGCATCTGATTGGGAAATATCCCGTAAGCAGAATTCATCCATCCTTTCTTGATTTGGAACAAGTTATTCTCAGTATCAATTCATTGATGTTTTTTTACGTAGGATTTCTACAAAGCCTGTGTCATGAGGAATCCAGTGCTTAATATTGGGGGTAAGTCATAATCGGAAAACTTTTCATGAATGACGTCAATATTCACTTTTCATTGTACAGGAATGTCTTTTGTCACGGATATTCCGGACTGGTATGTAATAAAAAAGAATATTTCCAGGGTTAAAATCACGGTGAATTTTACACTACATATTTGTTGATGTGTAGGTGCTTTGCGGAATTGGGTTTGTCTTATGACCTGAAGAAGCCGTGCATAACTACGCCATCCGTTTACGCCAAGATGTATCAAAGTTCACCGACTGCCAACATTGATAAGATAAAGACACCAATTCTATTGATGCTTGGGCGAAATGACAAAAGGGTGCCGATCTTCGACGGGTTGCAGTGGTGGCACTACCTCAAAGGTCAAGGTAAGGTAGATATTCGTTGCAAGATGTATTGCGAGACAGGTCATTCGTTGGACACCATTGAGGCCGAAATCTCGTGCATCGATGCTATCAGCAAGTTTCTAAAAGAAAAGATTGGTGTTTAACATAGCGCATGTGTCCAGAAGAAAATCGAAGATTTCTAGAATATCACCTTGTTTGGATTTTATGCAATAAAATAAAATAATTTTGTTAAAACAAATGTTTCGATTCAGCTTGATAATTTATTAACGATCACCATAAAAAAAAACAATCAAGATATACTATATAAGTTCATTAATAAAGAGATTAAAAATAACAAACAATTGTCCTTTATACGATGAAAGACGATTGATTTTATTCCGCTTTGGTAAAATGTTTTGTGTAATGATACATAATAATGCATCAATACAGGTTCTATCTTAATGACAAAGTTGTTATAATATATCATGAATTTGTTTGTTCAAGCAATCACATTAGATAAGCATGCATAGGCGTCTTTTGTGGAGGAGACTCGGACAAACGACCCCACTGTTCAAAAAGAAAATTCGATTCATCCACGGTATTAATCCGCTATTAATCCAAAAGAATTTTGCGACCGTTGTTTCCAAAAATGAACGCTACGCCACCCTTGATGATCACGTATAAGGTTAGAAGTAACTGATCATATGGTCACCAATCGATCAACATTGCATTTTTTTGACGCCTCGCGCCTCGATCCTGATAAACCACGACGCGAAACCAATGCAATCAATCACCTTACAAGAACACCATTCAAGTAATTCCATGAAAGGACGAAGAGAATTCCTTAAAGTTGAATACGTAATCGGAATTTGTTGTCCAGTTATTCTCATTCTTTTTTGATACTTTGTGATTGAAGTCATGGCAATTTCGGCATGTATTCCTATCGCAACATTTTTAACATATGGGTCCTTCCAATATGATCTATTGTTTGAAATTTTTCAAAGACAAAATTTCCTCACATCAAATAAATTCGATAAATTCATATTATCCATCAACTATAAATACACGTACTGACCAGACGTTTTCCCCGCCAACACGCCCAGGCTTTTACTATGGGAGGAGAAAAATTTAAAAGAATTAGAATTAAATTTTTGAACGTGGAAAAAGATTTCCAGTTCGTAGAAGGGAACACTCCCGAATGTATTGAAAAGACAATTATTGTGTCCTTTGGTTTCTCTAAATTCGTTTTATTGGATAATGGTTTTATTATTTCCATTGAGTATTGTTCGTTCGAAGATGGAAAGGTATATCTAATCAAAGTATGTATTTATTTGCATAATTTCTTTAATGCCTTTATCGTGTCGAAAGATCTTTTGAACATAGGAGTTGATTCTTATTAGTCATGACACTAACTGATCTAAAACGCTTTTCTTATAAAAGCCAATGGGAGCTCCAAAGGAAGCTCAGTTGGCCCCAGCTTCTTTGTCCGCGGGCGGAAGGCGTAACAAAAGAAGCCGGAAAAAGGCATGCGAAAACTGCGTGCTTTCTAAAAAACGCTGTATCATGGGTCCTGGCGGTGTTCAGTGTAAAAGGTGCGAGGTGAAAAATTGTGAGTGCCTCCTACCTGCTCACTTATGATTTCATACCCCGAATGAGTTGCGACTCGTTCATTACAATTAAGACTATGTAATATGCCCACGAATGCATTCACTATGCTAATAAACTATGTAATTATGCAAATAAATTTCTTGATCCATAAAGTATCCTCAATGCACTTCGGATTATAGAAACGATGGAATACACCAATTTTTTTATTAATTAATCGGCACTCAAGTTTTTTATTTTATTTTGCTTTTATCGAGAGTTGATGCTCTTAGTATGCATTCTCGTGAAAATTTCCTTGTCAAATCATTTCATGCGGATGTTATGTGTATATGCGCTATTTCGAAACAAGCATTTTTTTTCTATCCGAGTCTAATGAACGATGTCAAAACAATCTCTTGAGCAAATTTACTTTCTCCATGTACCGATGATATGCGTGTTGCATACGGTATAATCATCAACGGTGGAATTTACGCATTAAGTATAAAAAAATAACATTTGCCCTCAAGAAATATTAACTTGCGGGATTAATTGAAAAAGTCCCATTGTCCGAAAAGTACAGTATTTATTCCAGAAGGCTTATATTACATCAGACGTCCATAAAAAGAGGGCCATTGTTGTTACTGAATCACTTGAACTCACGTCACCGATACGTGGTACATACTGCCTCTACTTTATCAACACCAAATGTATTACACTAAAAATGGCAATATACTGTATATACAATGTCACACATCTATAACAAAAAGTGAATATTCTTAGTATAAGAATGAAAAGAAATAGATCCGCTATACAAAAGTCGGCTCAGAAAAGCAGGAAAAGCATTTTGATAAGTAATGTGAATACTTTGGATATATCACAAACTCTTTAAAAGATGGCACTGAGGAGATATCAAGGAATTTTTATTTTTATTTCATAATTTTAACCTTTTTTTAATGTTATTTATCAAATAATACACATGCGAATGCTGTATTTAACTGCCATTAAATACTTTATATCCTATAAATTTTATAGTCTTGATAAATTTTTTAAGTAATAAAATTTTTTTTTTAAAGAAAATATTAATTCCAAAAAATTCATGATAAATAAATAATTAGAAAATACGGTAATTTGCTTTATTTTAATATACCATTTTGTAAAATAAAATGAGAATGACGAGAAATTTCTTTTTGAAAAAAAAATTTTTGGAAAATGATTATATTGATTTTTTTAATTATTATAGATAAATAATTTTAAAAATTTTTTTGTTTTTCATAAAATTAATAAAAAAATTTTTGTTTTTCATAAAATTAATTAAAACTTTTATTGAAAATTAATAAATCGATTCTTTATATTATTTATATTTAAAATTAATCAAATAATATTTATTTGTTTATAAAAATATTAAATAATTTATTTAATATTTTTAAGTATCTATATTAAAATTAAATTTTATAATAACAGATAATTAGAATTTTTAAAGATATTATTTTGATAATAAGTCAGTCTTAAATTTATTAAAACATATATCAAAATAAAAATGAAAATATAGAAATTTTATTAATAATTAATTTATTCACCTTTTTTTTTTCAATTATTATTTCATATCTCTCTTTCATTAAATTTATAATTATTTAAAATCTTTTTGAAATTTTATTCCATTCTTTTATTATTGTATAAACTGTTTTAATTTTAAAATATTTTTAAATCATCTTAATTCTATATTTCTTTTAACAATAGTCCAAAGATTTTTAATAGAATTTACTGTAGGTCTGAACTATTAGAAAATCAATCTAAAAAAAATTTTTTTTAAGAACTAAGTATGATACACATAAGATTTTTATTAATCATTTGCAGATTATATGATTATTACATAAACAATCTAATTAAACTAATACTACCCATCTATTTTTATTCAAATACCAACTTACACCTCAAGGGTAAATCCATACTTAGGTTTATATTATATCTTTTTACTTATAAATATAGAATAAGAAAAATTCTGTCCAACAGTTGAAAAACCTTCCCAGCAGTTTCCTTTTTGATTTTTATAACCCAACTCTTTTCCAAAAATTGGATTATCAATATAAATTGTATCAATATCAAGCAGGATAGTAAAGGTTCAATCGAGTTTTGAAGTCTGCCGATCCAGTTTTGAATACTAGCTGATTGGATATGACTTATTCAAGAAGCCAGCCAATCCAAATAGAAAGGTTTATGCTATGAAGTCTGCCATGCTAGAAGAGGTTGTAAACTTTTATTAGAGTTAAACCAAAAGTTATTTCTCATGTAACCTTTTCTACTTCAATCTGTTTTTAGCTTATAATCATTAAAAAAACCAGAGATCTCATATTCATGCAGCCTAACTGGATTTGATCAAGATTCAGATGTCTGGATATAATATTTGTGGCAATCCAGTAAATTCACAAATGAAGAATAAATTTATATGTTTTGTTCTTTGTAGATATTGAACTAGAAACATATATTTGAAAACCATGAAGCACTATCTACTGTGCTATTAATCCACTAATCAATCAATTTAAAATTTTTTAAAAAAATTTATTAATAAATATTTTAACAATTTTACTTATATGTTTTGAATTATTATTATATTGAAAATATAAAAATTATTTTCAAGTAATTCAATAATTTTTAATTTATGTTTTTGCAAAATATTAACATAAAATTTTATATCCATAATTTTTTTAAAATAAAAAAATAAGTTTTTCCTTTTATACAAAATTTTCTTTATGCAAAAATTTTGATAAAATCTTTAGATATTCTTCTAATTAATTTTATATTTTTATACCATTGAATAATTATATTTTTTTTGAATAATTTAAATGCTATTTTATCAGAAAATAAAATCTTTTTTCAATTATAATCAAGGTATTTCTTTGCCTAAATAATATGAGTTTCTTTATAAACAATAATATATATGAGTTTCAAAGATAGATTATTTTAAAATTTAAGCTTGCTAGATATCTTGAAATTTTTATATGTGATACTTTAGTATTTATATTTAATAATTTAATCATCAAAGTTCTTGTAGAAAATCTTGGATTATGATATAAATATTGATTAATTGCTTTTGATTCATATGTAATAATTTTTTTAAGCTAATCTCTATTAAATTTTCTTGAATTATTTTCTTTAAAATTTAATTTTTAAGATTATAATAAATAATTAACATAGTTATGTCAATTCTAAAATATATTTCATTTGCAAAAATAATTTTATTCTTTTATAAATGTAATATAATTTGATATTGTATATGTTTTTTAGAAAATGACATTGTAATATAATTTGATATTGTATATGTTTTTTAGAAAATGACATTGTAAGAGTAAGTTTATAAAAAATAAAACAAGTTGGAAAATTTAATAATATATATATATTTGTTAAGATATGTTGTTTACATGTTTAAAATTTCATGTAAATTGTTTTTGTTTTGAAAAAGTTATTTATATTTATGTCATGTAAATAAAATTCCAAGAAGTTTTGTTACATACTGTATATATCCACATATATAATTTTTAAATAAAGGATATAAAATAACTATTTAAAGAAAAGAATTGTATAAGTAAATATATATGTTAAAGTTAGACTTAGTACAACTATTATACTTTACCTATGGCTAGAAAGATAAGAAAAATAGAACTTGTGAGCATTGTGGGTATACATATGCTACACCACAAAAACTTTGTGAATATTTTAATAAAAAGAATCCATGCAGACCTAAAACTGTTACTTCTATTCAAGTACCTATTCGAGCACCCATTCAAGAACCCATCCAAATTTCTGCTCAAGAACCTATTCAAGTACCGGTTCAAACTCTAGTTATTCAAACCTCAAAGTCCACAGATCCTAATTCCCGGAGGACGGGTAGATTGCAAAAGAAGATTAAAAATGTAATTAATTAAGGTCGTAAGCAACCAAAAACATTGATGGCGTGCAAGTTACTCTATGATGTTTGTTATATATAGATCCAGATGCACATGATCCAAGACCTTTAACGAAAGAGGAGGAGCAAGAATTTGCAGAATTCTTTGATGAACCCGAAATCAAGACAGAGTGCCAAGTAAAGAAATCTTCTCGAATATTACAGCCAGAAAATAAACCTACTAAAAATCAAGTTATAGACTCTCCTAAAGCCGGTTCAGGTCCAAAAACTCAAGCTTATCGTGATAGAAAAAACGAACAAGCTAAAAATATTTCTTTGGAAATAGACCAGACAAATGAAGAATTTGAGTGTCTTAGTATGATTACTGGAATAATGAAAAAAGTATAGTATTTAGAGAGCAAAATATGGGTCCAGCAGTAAAAAGACGAGCTGTAGTTGTACATAATGCAAAAGTTTCAAAATTTCATCCAGATAATGGAAGTGATATAAGAAAAATACTAGAAAGTCAAAGAAAACCATTTCGTGAATTGCTTGAGAAAAAGTTTGACAAACGTGGTCAATTCAAATTTTCATTATGTTCTCCTATATCAAGTAGAAGAACGAGGAGGAAAATCTAATGCTTAAGAATATATTTAGGCGGTAACATTGTATCTTGCGGAGTTATAAAGGTGTATTACAAATGCTATTTAACATTGATTTTTTCACATTTATTGTATATATTTTCTAATTATCTTGATTTTGTAAAACCACCTGTTGGATTTGATACAAATCTATAATGAAATTAGGAGCGGTGACAGCACCAGGGACTGTGATTACATATCCGACTGTGGAAAGAGCTCCTCTAACGATAGGCGGGTTCCAAAATACTTCTTGTACCGGGATGTTAACTTGATAATTAGCAAGACCTGGTCCTGTGCAAGCAGTAGGAGCACTAGTGTAATAATCGAGAGTACCGAAATTCCACTATAAAAAATTTGGTAAGTTTATATTATATATTATATATTTATCATTTAAATTGATTTAATATTAATGGCGTGCTAATCTTACTTCTTCATAATATACTCCTGGCTGTCCCATTACTGCTATGTGTCTTCCTTGTATTGGTGTTGCCTGACGTGTCCAGAGTCTGGCCTAAGATCAGAAATAGAAAGAAATAAAAATATTTCGAAATCATTGAAATAAACAGGTCGTGTAACACATACAATCATACACCGATCCAACTGTCCACCTGCATTTCGTGTAGCTTCTTGATCGTAAATTTTAACTCCAAATACGCATCTTACGTATTGCTGTTGCATCCAAAGACTACACTTTGCATTCCATTTCTCATACTTTTGAGACACAGCAATTTCGCACATTATACGCGCGTGTGGTCTTCCCTATATAATTACTTTATGATGAGACCAGGAAAGATTAAGAAAAAAAATCCATTACGCCAGAACAAACCGATTTATCAACAGGGGGGATCTCAAGGTGTCGCCGGGGAGCTCTTGGACGCCTTGCACGGCCCAATCTACGTCGTGGAGGAGGAGGAGGAGGAGTAGGCGGTTTTGGAATAATGTCTAAACTTGGATATATAGCGATATCGGGTGCCGAAGGCCTCCCTCTTCCATGTGGATGATAATGGGCTATTATAGAACACATGTTTATTAAATTGGTAACAAGCTTAAGTAACTCAAAGGAATTTTTTTACCTAAAGAACCTACAACATCTATCGGAGGATCATTGATGTTACCTCCGTTGGGAAGGTCAAAATATCTTTGGAGCTGTTTGACAACTAATCCATGCTCCGCTTTTTCCATTTCAACTACAAATACGTTTCCCATTGGATCAATATCAAATTTATACCCGCGTGTATCGTGGCGTTCAAAGAAAGTATCAATTTTTTCCACCGACAAATTCCAGCCTATCTGTATAGGAAGTCTATCATACGTGTCAATACTAGGCGGAACTTAATCCATCTGTGTGATGTTTACTTACTCTTTCTCTCTCGATGAATTTTTTACGCTCTGAAAATTCATTTCTAGGGGTATAATTCGATTAATCATTTTGAAAAAGTTATTGTCGTTGATTGTTATTTTTTATTTTTTCATTAAGTGTCAAGGATTACGCAATCACAAGGTTACGCAAAATAATTTGAGTTGAACTTATTCTTCACATGGCTACAAGATGGCTCTTGCACATATTCAAAAATAGAAAATCGCAAATTGTCCAAGGAAAATATATAATTGAACAATGCCAGTTAAGAAATAAGACCAAGCTCTTTAAGTCGTCGAGGAATCACTAAATATGGGTCTTCATAATACCACACTTCGATAAGTAATATCCGATTTTTATCACAAAGTTCTTTTTTTAGCTGATCTCGTGCAAACTGCTTTTCCAAATCCTTTTGGTTTTTGTGGAAGAAATCATGGAAACATTTATGTTGTATACCTTGAACTTCGATAGCAAAACCATATTGTGGATAGTATATATCAAGTTCAAGTCCTAATGGATGATCAGGCGTTTTTAAGAAATCTGGTCTACGGGACTAATTTCGTTGCTACTTCCCTGCAGTGTTCTTGTTTCTTCCATGGACAGAATGGACACAATGTACCGCTCTTTACTGTATATCACATAAAGTAGCATTCCATTCGTAAAATTTAGCACATTTCCATTGATATAACATTCAGAAAGACATTTTCCACCTTTTTCTAAAGCAATATTTTGAGCATCAATTAATGTCATTTGCGTCTCATTTTTTAGAGGAAACTTCTTTACAATTTGGAGTTTCTTACAAAAGAGCGTTTAGAACCATCAAAAAGTTTATATAGAATCGGTTGATTATTCTTTATTAAATACGACTCAATCGTAAAAACCTCGGGACTCCAGTACAATTTGTCACTCTTCTTTTTCCAAAAGCATTTCCCTCTAATTCTCCAGTTTCTAAAAAGATGATGGACTTCTGTATGTATTGGTAAAATAGGCCCATTATATCCAACTGATCTTATATGCTTAACAGCAGGTTTGGCTATTATTTTTTCGCCTTTTAAAGTCTTTTTTTACAGTCTCATTAGGAGACATTCCTATTAACTTGGTAGGTATATTATTAAATATACAGTATCATTATTGATTCGAAGACCTTTAACCCAATACCTAGATCTCTCAGTTAATGGTAATGTAGATCTTTAGCATCTTTGGCGGAAAATAGTATATTTCTCAAATTCTTGATGATCACGTTCAGCAATGCCAACACCACGTTTAGGGTTGGCATATTGAATATTTATACCATATTTAAGCAATAAATCTTTACATTCACCCATATATTCAGTACCCTATCAACAATAAATGTTTTTGGACAGTTAAGAGGGCAGTTTGGATCATTATAAATTTTCTGAATCGCCTTAGCCATTAGTGCAGATGATTTATTAGTCAATGCAAAACTACGCCGATACCTAGTTGCAATATCTTTAACAACACCTCTATACTTGTAAATTTGGTTACCTGCTTTATCATAAGGCATGGGCGTAGTATCTGATTGATGTACTTCATTTAAATCTTGAATACTATTAAAATATGCATATTGTATAAATTTAGGATGAGGTTTATGAATTCGATATAACGCCTGTTTATTTAACTAATCTTTTATATCAGCTAATAAAAATTGTAACCAGACTCTTTACAGGCATCCTGCATTTCTTCAACAATTCGATAATAACCTTCAAGCTGGTAATATAATTTCTGCAATGTAATCTTCCTATCCAAATCACGGGCCCTCTGTGGATCGATGTAAATTACAGGTGAACCAGAGGTTTTAAATATAAATTATAGTCTTGAAAAACAGATAGATATACTGTACGTGAGGAGAGAATCCGATTTCTGGAAGATGAACTTGAATGTGTTATATAACTTTCTAGCCAAAAGAAGATAGAGCTGCAGAAAGAAATTTCGGATCTAAAAAATCCCTTTACAATGCTAAAAAGGAAATCAGGCAAAAGGAGAAGAATCTTATTGTTAGAGAAAATCAATTGGCTGTGTTTGACAAGCAAGAAAAAAAGCTTAAGGGTAAAATCAAAGAACTATCTACATCCAGAAGAAATTCTCCTCAAACTTATAATGACTTGTTAGAAATAACGGATATAATAGAACAACTCCGCAATGAGAATAATAGATTTATAAATATCTCACTGAACGAAATAATCAAATAGCTTGGCAAAAAAGACGTATTACTAATTGAAATTGTCAGAATTTGCTATAATATTATTACATTATCGCGATAGGCGGGAACTTCATACTATGCTAAATACTTTACAAACTGCCGATGACACGAATCAAAATTTGTATAATATGCTAGAAGTACCTTCTATGGAAAGGAGTTTCATGTCAGGATCATCAACTGATGAATTATATCTTCAAAAATTAGAAGGTCTTGAGGAAGCATATCAACCAGGAGATTGTTTATATGATGAATTATTAACTGTAAATAGCTTACGTAGTGAAAGTTCAGGAGCACATATTTTACCTGATTTTTTAATACAGAATGAAAATGACGAATACAAGATCTTGATACGGATTCATTTACTTCCGATTCTGATATGGCTACAATTCCAGAATTAGCAGATACCATAGATGGTTACCTAAATATTACTACAACAAGTAGGGTGATTTTAGTAAATCAAATAAAAAGAGCCACTAGATAGATCAGGCGTAAATACTATATACTAATCTGTAAAATAATATAAATGAACAACGGTATCGGTATCAAGCTGAAGTGGAACTTGATTTGTGTCAAACAGAGTTAGCAAATTCCCAGATGATTTTGCCTTAATGACTGGGAATATAGTATAAAAGAGATATAAACGTCGCTGGTAGTTCTCATATCATGATAAAAAATAGATGTGTTGGTGAATTAACATGAGAAAAATTTGCTATACAATTATTATTGCAGTGATATCATATTAATGGTATGAATCCACAAACAAGACTAGATATATGTCAGAATAATTCATTATTATGTGAAGTTCAGCTTGATATTACATCGGGAAAATGGAAAACCAGAACTCGAAATCTGGGCAATTAATTTTAAATTTAAAACAAATTTTTGTATTACAGAATAAGCCATTAAATATGGCTGAAGGTAGTATTAAAATTGATATACCAATCTTTTCAACCAATTCCACAATATATAGGACAAATGCTACCTGATGATTATATAAATATGTTAGAACAAGTATGGTTTATTTCAGTACCTCAGATGATAGCTCTTGAAAATGCAAATGCAAGAGATTTTGATGATACTGTTAAATGTGATGTCTTAAAAAGTAAAACAGGAGGTAAATTTGCTCCCAAATCTTAATATTAATATCTGCAGAGAATGCTTCTATTCGATCAAAGTGGAAGAGAAAAAATGTTGTAATAGTTGTCAGTCTAAATAAATAGAAAGATTATTTTGACTAACTCTATACCTAAATCTTAGCCAGAATTTTGGGCTCAATATTCAATAGACATTTAATAAATTTTCATTAGACTTATTTCGAAAAAAAAAATTTATATTATAATAAGATTATGACCTTATATTCTCAAATAAAATGTTATGAGATTTTGATAATTTATTGAAAATATTCTTCTGGTTTTTCATCTGCTGTATAATATTCAGAATCTAGATAATATAGAAATTTTTATTAATATGTTTTCACATCTTTATAAGACTCAATTACAATATTCAAGGCAAAATATCTTACTGGTATACAATACTTTATCCAAAATCAATATTCAACAAAGGAATCTATTCCAGCCAAACCAAATCAAAAAAGAACAAAACCTTATCTTTGGTAAAAAAAACAAAAAACTAATAAATCAATATACTAATTAACTATTAAATCACAATCAATAGTAACATTAATCAATTTATTATTCTCTTAAAATATATTGGCTGCAAACAAAATATCTTAAACAATTCTTATTAATATTAACATATCTCAAATTAACTCTTTAACTTCTTTATCAAACCTAATATCAATAATAATATAAAAATCAAAATAATCAAATTTGATTTTGATATACTTTTTTTTTCAATTAAATAAATAAACTTTCAAATCTGTTACAAATATTTGTACTATTAAATATTCAAAAATAATTAATTTAAAAACATATTTATTTTATTACAAAAATTCTTAAAGCAATATACTTTCTTCTTTAAATTTTCTAACTTTCAAATATCTTTTTAATTCAATAATAATTATATAATATTTTATTCAATACAAAAAATCTTATATATTCAACTTTATTTTTTTTTCTTTTTCTTTTATTTTCTATTCTTTAATCATTATTTTCTTACTAATATATAAAACAAATAATATTCTTTTATAAACATTTCAAAATTTTCAACAAACTTTTATTTTATTACTAACTAATTATTATAAAAAATATAAATTTCAATATGCTACTGCTATTAGCAATATTTACAATATTATTTAAATGCTACAAATATCTTATATTTTCTACAATTCTATTTTAACAATTACAGATATATTCATATAATACAATTATCCCTTAATTTAATATTATTACTCTTTTCTTTTATCTTTTATCTTATTAAATCTATAAAAAATATACTTTTTCTTTATATAATCTCATTAAAAAAATAAACAAAACAGCTTGATAAATTTATATAATTATTTATCAAAAGCAAAAACTATTTTTAAATCAAATATTTTGATTTTTTTATAAACTCTTTCATTTTTTAAAAATTTATTACTATCAATTATCTAAATTTAATTAAAATTTATAACTTTTATTTCAAAATATTTTCTAATATATTATTAATTAATTATTATTTTTAATTTATTAATATTTTTTTACATTACAATATAACACTAAAAACAATATTTGATATTTGATTTTATAAAGAAAAAATATATAATAATAATTCAAATTATTAATAATATATTAGTACAAGCTATATTTATTTTAAAAAACAATAAAAACTTTGATCCAAAAATTTTCTAACAACTTATTAATTTTTCTCTTACTTGTATAAATCTAGATTTTGGTCTTTTAAATATTAATTTCTGCTTTAAAAACTTTAAACATTTGTTACAAATCTAAAAACTTTAAATAATCTTTAAAATAATCTTTTTTATCTAATTTATTATAAAATTTGGCTTTCTAAAAATAAAAATATAATTAATGAAATAGGAATCTATAATATTTCTTACTTAAATAAATTGAAAAAAAAACAATTAAACATTTTTATTAAACAAAAACTTAAAAAAAAAATTCTTTAATAATAATTTTTATAATTTAAATTCAAATAAACTCTTTAATATTATTAATAAAATATTTTCTAAAAACCTATTCATATTTTTTTAGATAAAATAAATTATTAAAAAGAAATTGACTCTTAAAAAATAAATTATTTCTTTTGTTTTCTTTTTACAAAAAAGATTTTCTTAAAATATATCAATATAATAATAGATTAATATTAATAATATATCTTAAAATCTAAATATTAATTATAAAATAAATTTTTATTTAATTAATAAAAATCATAATAAATTCTTATTTAATATTTTAAAAAAATATTTTAAAAGAACAAATTTATAAAGTTATAATTTTTAAAAAAGTAATTAATATTTATTAAAATCTTTATATAAATAAATTAAATCAAAAATTTTTTTAAATTAAATTAAATATTAATTTAAATAACTTATAAAAATTTGTAATTTAAAACAAAAAAAATTGTTTTTATTATTTAATTCTTTTATTTCTTTATAAAAATATTTCTTTATTTGAATTATAAAATCAAAAAATATATATAATAAGTAATGATTAATAAAGTTTTTTTTCAAAAACTTGAATATAAAATTTATATTTTTTAAATATTTTATTATTTTAAATATTTTATAAGATATTTATTAATTATTATAAAAAAAATATTAAAATCAAAATAGATATTAGTAAAATAATATTTTATATTTATATTTGAAAAATGTTTTAAATAAAAAAAATAATTGGTTTTTATATTTTCAAAAAAATATAAATAGTAAACTTTATTATATTCTTGATAAAAAATATAAATTCTAATAAAAACCTATGGATCTATAGTATAGTAGTTAATGTTTTATAGATCAGATCATAAGATACCAGTTCAATTCCATGTGAAGACAATTGAATAGAATTAATATGATATCTGATACTATAATCAATTATGTACCATTTCTTATAAGAAGCTATTTCATACACTAATCCAGCGGACATTAAGATTGTAATCTTCCTATTAAGGTATAGTGGTAAGATAATCGTCTGGATGATATTATAATAATTGTTTACGAAAGATACTATAGAACTATTCATATATTTGGATATATAAACTAAACTGTATTTCATTTTAACCAATCCCAAGCCACCAATTCCTTTACTGTTAACTGTCAAATAAGAAAGCTTTGAAGAAGATCATCGAACTATCAATAATGTTTTGTGGGATAAATAATTTACTCAACAGCTTATTATATATATAGAAGTTGTATTCTGTTTGACATTTATACCCCTAGATTTGATAACCTATGTTAATCAGTTTTGAATTGGAGTGTCTATTAGGAGAAAAGGATGTAATCTTTAAGAGTCATGCCCCACTTGGCCACAAGAGTCTCTAGATTTAACAGCAAAAGTCAACTAGTAAACCAAAACTGGAGCATTTACTAGGGAGTATATACTTATATTTGAGATCCTCTGTCACTTGAATAGATATAGGAAGGTATAATATGATAAGTAACTTAAGAAATAATCAGCAGTTTTTACTACCCTCACATAAAATTGAACCAGTAGATTAAATAGTTTAAAACTAGTGATAGGATTTCCATTCTCTAGATAAGTTTTCCCCCAAAATATAAAATCATTTCAAGAGTGTTACTAGTATCACTAAAGCATTAAAAAATAGAATAGATTAGTATTAAGCTATAGTTTAACATTACAGAAGATGTTTGATGTAATTGTGATATTATATATATCAATAAATGGTTGACATCTAATGCTTATTCTATTATAAAAAAATATATATATTTATATAAATTCTAATAAAATAATAATTCAAAATATTAGATCAAACTTATAGTTAATTTTCTTTAGGAATTTTTTTTATTTCTTAATTGACTATTTTATTCTTTTAATTTTATTTTAATTAAAAATCTTTATATTAGTAACAAATAAATTAATTAAAATATAATTTATATTTATAAATTAAATTTTAATAAAAATTAATAAAATCTTGATATATTAATTAATTATATATAAATATTTAATAAAAATTATAAAATAAGATTTTTTTTAATAAATTTATTAAAATAAGTATTTTATAAATAAAATATAAACTATCTGTTAAAATTTTTTTATATATTGTATAATAAATAAATAACTATTTATAAATTAATAATTATTTATTATTTTTATATTTAATAACTATTTTTATTTTTACTACGAATTTTTTTTCATTACTATAAATTTCTTTTTACTCATATAGTATTTTTTAGAAACCAATAATTGTATATGCAATAGGCTAATATTAACTTAAATGAATGTTTAATGTAATGACAGGAATTTTTTATAATTCAATAAAATCTCGCATTTAATGCTCATTCGCAGTAAAAAAAAACTATTTTAATTTATTTTTATTTTTTTATTTTATTGCAAATAGGCATTAAATGCGGGATCTTTATATTATTACTTTTTATAATATGCTTTCTATATAATTATTGAATATTTTATTTTATTTTTCTTATATTGTATTTATTGAATTTAAAATCAAAAATTCTATTTAATCAATTAAACAAAATCTTAATTTTTAGAATTTAACATTTAATATTTTTGACAATATAAATTGTATGAAAAACAATTTTTTAAATTTTGATAATATGGGTGATCATGTGTTATAGATAACGATACGTGACCAGGAATTTGAAGATCCTAACATGTCCTCTGACGAAAAGAAGCGTAGTATAGACAATGACAAAAAGAGATCCAAAAAGTCTACTTCTATGGGTTCTGAACACCAGCCATCTAAGAAACCTAAATTCTATTCTGAAGAAGCCATGGGGTCAATAGGCATAAACATACAGAGGGGTGCATTATTTTCGCACAGCAAGAATTCAAGGTTAGGTGACGGCGAAAGACAGCCTATTTCAGAGCTAACACAAGAGCAGGCTAATAATCCATTTATGGTCTCAGAAAACATGGAGCCGATCGTGGTCGATAATTTTGCAGAAGAGACTATAAGTGAAATTGCCATATCAAAAGGTTCGGATTCTCGAACGTCTGAAGGTGAACACGTTATTCTAAGTCATCAGGTATTCGTGAATTTTCCATGTCAAGGGTTTAAAAATTGACCAGATAATGAGCTCATGTAATTTAATATAAAGGTCCGCCATCAAGTAGCCCTTCCTCCAAACTACCAATACACGCCAATTTCTCTACACGTTCCACCTTCAAAACCGGCAAGAACATATCCTTTTGAGCTAGATCCTTTCCAAAAAGTTGCGATCGCATCGATAGAACGATCAGAGTCGATTCTTGTCA